AGGGTTTTCTTTAAAATGATACCAAATTTTTGCATTTACACCTCTGCGTGTGGATTAGGGAAGCTTTTAAATTTGGGAAGGCAAGATCCAGGCGGAAATCCCAAAATAGCACTTGGGTTTAAGATTTCAGAATACATCTTCAACTCAAAAAATATAATTAATTAAGTTTAAATTGCACTAAAATGCATTAAAGATAAGTTATATAAAATATGTGTAAAAGTTAATATAAATATTTTTTAATCCTCTAAAATGTTACAATTGAAATTGAACTACTATATAAAATTTAAAGTTTAGGAAGTTAATTTAAGATTAATACAATTTGCACACAATAATCTTGCTCAAACCATTTGCTTTATGTCCAATCCACAAGATGTTACAGTTCAATGTTGCTTGTTTTGGACCCCATTGTTTTTTTTTAAACAGACAAAAGATTGTAATATGCTCTTGTGTTTATTTGTATGTTTCACAGAATAGAAGATTCCAAATAAGAAGAACATGAAGATCCATGAATGATGACAGAATATGCGCATGTATCATGTCATTCGCCAGTTAGAAAACTTTATAATACATTAATACTACAATTGCGAATGAAAAACTATTATATCTAGCATGTTTTCAGTTGTGTAGCGAGCAAAACTTGTCATTATATGCAATATTTCATGCATGCAAGGATCACTGGTCTCACTCTCTCACAAGCTTTGTGCAAAAGCGACTACTGTTTGCTTATTGTTTGACCGGCAGTGTGCAGGAATTACACTTATTACTAAGCCATACTTGCATGCTATTTTAGACCGAATATTCAGAGTTGAATCGTGTTTTGAATTTACGAAATGGATTTGTATATATTTGAATCGTGTTTTGAATTTACGAAATGGATTTGTATATTTTTGAATCGTGTTTTGAATTTACGAATTGGATTTGAATCATGTTTTGAATTTACGAAAAGGACTTCTGCATTTAAGAATCATGTTTTGAATTTACGATTAGAACTTTTGAATTGTGTTTTGAATTTACAAGTTTGATTTGAATCGTGTTTTTAATTTATGAAATGGATTTGTATATTTTCGAATCATGTTTTGAATTAACGATTTGGATTGGAATCATGTTTTGAATTTACGAAAAAGACTTCTGTATTTTATAATCATGTTTTGAATTTACGAAAAGGACTTCTGTATTTTAGAATCATGTTTTGAATTTACGAATTAGATTTTTGAATCGTGTTTTGAATTTACGAAAAGAATTTGTGCATTTTTTGAATCATGTTTTAGTTTACAAATTGCATTTGTGTAATTTTAAATCGTGTTTTGAATTTACGAACAGGATTTGTGTATTTTAGAATCGTGTTTTAATTTACAAGCTGGATTTGTGCATTTAAGATTTGTTTTGAACTGACAAATTGGATTTTGTAAATGTGACTGGTGTTGTGAATGTTTGAATTATATTTTGCAAACGTATTATATTTAAGACTGATTTGGTTCAATATGAAAAATGTCACTTGAATAACAGAGCTCAAAAATGTTTTACTATTTTAAGCACTTGCTATGTAATGTTAGCACTTAATTACACCTATTTATTTTTAACTGCAGTCTTGCTGTAACTTCTAGTGACAGAGTGCGAGTACGGTTTACCCCTGCCCACCTCTTATCTCTAGACATCAAAGATGACTTTTATCTGTAGTTGCTTCTTTATAGTAAAATGGAAATGATCTGAAGTGGGCGTTTAAAGGAGACACAAGAAAGAGGGTCTCTGATGTCAGGATACATCTTCCCGCCCACTGCAGGAACCCGTGACATCACAGCACCTATGGAGATTACATCACAGCGCATCACAGATGGCCTGCCATGTTTTCCATTTGAGTGCGAGTGTGAAGACTCAGAATATGGAAAGTGCAGCATGTCTGCCACTCTGGGCTGTGTGCGGGTCAGTCGCGTGGGACTTTCCCTCCAGCGCAGTCGAACACATGCAGAGCTCAGCAGTCGGCCTATCTCACTCGTGCATCACAAACACACGGTGGCTTGCATCTGCTTCTGGAGACGTACGTTCACCCCTTTGCAGGGGAAGTCCAGTGTGTTTTGTTATGAGGAAGGCGTGGGGGCCTCAGACCGGGCTCCGCGTTTTGAAGGGGATCCCCCTGCTCACCCCAAAAACAGCCCGTGAGACCGGGGGCAGCACTGACGACTAAAATAGATTTCTGTATTTTGAAAATATTGTCTTTTATTCTTCTTATTTTATTAATGGAATATTGCTTGTTTATTATAAATGATTTATCAGTGAGCATCAATTATTTAAACCTTATGCCCTTGTTATATTTCATCAAAATAACTCCCCCTCCCTCTGATGATGTGTGTGCTGGCACGGGGCGGAACAACTTGACAGTTGTGTGAGATCCACCATTAGTCAATGATTTTTGCTGCATTCTAATTGAAGTATGTATCGCTGCAGCCCGGAGACCTCAGAGTGGGAGGGATTACACCACAAGTAGGTGGGGTAACCTCCAAGTGGGAGGGACATACACCACCGGTAGGTTGGGTTTAGGGTTGGTGCAGATGTAGTAGACATAAAAAACAGCTTACTGTGAGGTTGGGTTAAAGGTTGGGGTAGGTTTGAAGACATAATAAAAACAACAGGTTACCCTGAGGTTGGGTTTAGGGTTGATGTAGGTGTAGAAGATGTTAATAAAACACAACAGGTTACAATGAACTTGGGTTTAAGGTTGGTGTAGGTGTAGTAGATGTTAAAAACACAACACGTTAATGTGATGGTGGGTTTAGGGTTAGGGTAGGTGTAGTGGACGTTAATAAAAAACAACAGGATACTATGAGGTTGGGTTTAGTGTTGGTGTAGTTGTAATAGATGTAAATGAAACAACAGGATACTGTGAGGTTGGGTTTAGGGTTAATGTAGGTGTAGTAGATGTTAATAAAACACAACAGGTTACTATGAACTTGGGTTTAAGGTTGGTGTAGTAGATGTTTAAAAACACAACAGGTTAATGTGAGGGTGGGTTTAGGGTTGGTGTAGGTGTAGTGGACGTTGATAGAACACAACAGGTTACTTTGAGGTTGGGTTAAGGGTTGGGGTAGTTGTAGTTGTAGTAGACATTAATAGAACACAACAGGTTAATGTGAGGGTAAGTTTAGGGTGGGTGAAGGTGTAGTGGACGTTGATAGAACACAACAGGTTAATGTGAGGGTAAGTTTAGGGTTGGTGCAGGTGTAGTTGACATTAATAGAACAGGTTAATGTGAGGGTGGGTTTAGGGTTGGTGCAGGTGTAGTGGATATTAATAAAACACAACAGGTTACTGTTAGGGTGGTTTAGGGTTGGTGAAGGTGTAGTAGACAGTAATAAAACACAACAGGTTAATGTTAGGTTGGGTATAGGTTTGGGGTAGTTGTAGTAGACGTTAATAAAAAACAACAGGTTAATGTGAGGGTGGTTTTAGGGTTGGTGTAGGTGTAGTGGACGTTAATAAAACACAACAGGTTAATGTGAGAGTGGTTTTAGGGTTGGTGTAGGTGTAGTGGACGTTAATAAAACACAACAGGTTAATGTGAGGTTGGGTTTAAGGTTGGTGTAGTTGTAGTGGCTGTTAATAAAACACAACAGGTTAATGTGAGGGTGGTTTTAGGGTTGGTGTAGGTGTAGTGGACGTTAATAAAACACAACAGGTTAATGTGAGGGTGGATTACCCTCACATTTACAGGATTTAGGGTTGGTTTAGTTGTAGTGGACATTATTAAAACACAACAGGTTACTGTGAGGTTAGGTTTAGGGTTGGTGTAGGTATAGTACTGGACTCGATGGATTACTCTTCAGTGTTTGGACTCTTAGCAGTAAATATTAAACCACACTGAAATGAAACGAACTAAACGGAACTTAAACACCGAAAACTAAACTGACACGGTTTCAATTCACTACAATCTTCTATGTGAAGCTGCTTTGTCACAAAAGTCCTGCTTCTTCTTACTGACCAGCCAATTTGGAGCTCTGTTTATACCTTTTTTCCCAATTAGCATAAATTCACCCCTGAAGGACACTAATGGTGGCCACATTAAAGGTATGCTGAAAGGTTTACTTGCTTGGGTCAAAGGGTAAAACTGATAGACATTTTTCCCACCCGTTATTCTGTGTCATTCAGAAGTGCAATACTGCAGTAGTAATGCATTCACATCACATCAAAAAACCCATGTAGAATGACTACTTTTAGCTTTTCAAAGTTGTGTCTGCCGTTGCTAAGCAACCATGAGCTATGCTCACCATTTAGAACAGTAGTGACTACCGGTGTGTCAGAAATCACATACTTCTATAGTTTGTGAACAGTATGCAAGCTGAGCAGCATGTCCAAAGTCATATAGTGAGTCTGAAATCACATCCTTCATAGTGTGTGAAAAACATGATGTGAGCTAAGTAGTTTGTCCAAATTCATAGTATTTGAAAAAAGTAGACGACAAGTATCTGGATGAACTATTACTTCCAGTGAGATTTTGACTATTTACACTATCTCATGTGGCCACGCAAGAGAGTTCATGAACGAAAGTGATATGACGCAACTGACACAGGTAGGTCAAGTGATGATGACAACCTAACAAATCTAGTTCCATTCCATTCATATTCATATAAAACATACTTTTCTAATGATCATAAAATAAATACAAATGTAGAACTAATTGAAGTAGTAGGAGAATTTGGATGCAGCTTAAGATAAGTAGCTAGAGTGAACAAACCTGTCTACAGTTTAGTATGCTTACAACCACATTGAGCATGTCTGATTTTGGAAGCTAAGCAGAGCCGGTGTCGTGATAATTCATGTTACGCTTCATACTTTGCTACCAACTCTATATTTGTATGGTTCACGGTTGTGGTTCGCTAGTAAATTTCCGATGGCTTGAGGCTGGAAACTCCAAACATGAAGAACCTAAGAAATAGTGTTGCATTATAAACAGACGACTTAACTACTTTCATTGATTCAGCATGATTAATAAACACACAACTATAGAATCATCTCAGAAGGATTTATTTTAACAGCCATCTTTCACTGAGCAGCGATTCAAACAATTGTTATCACAAAAACATTATCCTGATTTCCTTATTGTCTGATGAAGTGTTTCAATCTTACATGATTTTCAGTAGCTTGACAGTGTAAAACTCAGTTGTGTAAATGCTGCTCAATCCAAAAGCGTGTGCTTGAGTTATATTAGAACCGACTTTACTGCCAAAATGCGCATGAAAATCAATTTCAATTATTCGCAAATAAAGAGCCAAATTAAGAGCCTCAATACATCCAAGAAATATCTGTGTGCCCGATGTGAACATGAATCTACATTCTGTTTACTGAAAGTAACTTTGCAATAACATTTAAACTAACTCTTATTAGAGTACTAGTAGAGTGTTAAGTTTAGGATAAAGGCTAGTAAAACAAGTTGACATTTAATGACAGCTACTACAGTGAGCATAATATCTGTTTGTGCACCATCAAAATAGAGTTTATGACAATAAGCAAATACTCTAATGACTGCTAATTCATGTAAAGTACAGTATTACTTAGTAAACTAAAAAGACCGGTTAAAAGAAGTGTTGCATACTTGATTTAAGTGTATATGTATGTGTTAAGACTACACATCAAGTGCAAAACAACTGAACAACTTTGAAACAGACAATATTTTTTTTCCACCTTTCGTTTTGACTAAACTAAAATAAGGATCAATAAACCATAAAAGGCTATTGTTCTTTTCTGTCTGTTCTTCAGGACCATAATCAAATAACATTCAAATGTTGTTTGTGCTGAAGGAGGTCTCACAGTGCATTGATTTCAGTATTAGATTTGCTTCTCAGAGGCTTGTGTTATCAAAGCCTTAAAGGGAAACCTCAGTTAAATCTATCAGCCCCCCCAGCAGAACATAGAAAGACACAAAAAGCCCGCGTAAACTCAGTGTAGAAGGATGTTGAGCTGAAACATCTGGATCCTACATATCAATTGCTTTAAAATAAAATAAGACCATAAGAAATAACATTTCATTTCCACACTTATAGTAAAATATCGCAAATAATTACCCAAAAAGTAAAATGTTTTCTTCAATGTGCAGTTATAACTGAACTAACCTTACACTGAATATTTTGCCACAAAAAATGTAACAAAAATAATATATAAACAAATAATTTGACTTCTCTATAGTTATCCATTATGAATATTAAGTGTTATCACAAGGCATTGAAGTCACTTTGAAATTGTATTGATTGAAAGCACCCTGAGATGATCTGAAATGTCTATCAAAATATCATTATGGCAAAGTAAGTAAAAGGTTATAAGCAAGTTATGGAAACAATGTTATTTTTCATTTTATAATTTCTATTAATGATTGTTTATAGTTTATAATGTTAATTCTTAAAGTGATTCTCACTACTATGCATTGCCAAGACCTTATAAAGTACCCATCATCATCTATTCATAACCCATTGACAAAAATAAAAGACAATCTCAGCCTTTCATCCCAATTGTATGCGTTTTATAATGGAATTATACGTGATAATATAATTTTAGCACAAAAAAACCTACATAATTGTTGTAAACAGGAGTATGTCACCTACCACAGATGTTCACCATGTATAATAGATCATACTGTACAATAGTTTGAAATAAGAGAATCTAGCACAGTCGTACCCGCCTTGTACATCCATAACCTAGAATCTCTAACCACTTCTAACACTTCTATTACTGCTTCAAAGGTCAATCAGCTGTTTAGCAGCAGATCATATGGCCCTGTTTGCTTTGGCATAGAACAAAATGTTGAATTAAGGCAAAAGGGAAATTAGCAGGTCCACTTGCATGTGCATGTTTGCACTGCATGTAGGAGTTACTGTGCAGATGTGGTTGATTTCTGCATGTACGTTCACGAGCGTCTGCTGTTTATTTGAGAACACGCGTGGGTCGTCTAAGTCTGCCGTCTCATGGATTCCTCCACGAAAACAAACGTGTCACTGAGTGTCGTTCTTACTGTTGTTGTTGCTGTGAAGCTCTTGTAGCTGCAGGTCGATTCTTTCTTTCCTTTTGCGTTGGATCAAGTTTCCGCCGGCAAAACCAAGCAGTCCACCTCCAAAGGCAGCGGCGACCCCCGCCACTTTAAACCCTGCTAAGAGTCCCAGCGGCCCCCCTAACACTCCCCCGACCACCGCTCCTGCCACCGGCAACACTGCCAGCTTCGCACGGGCCGCCTGCACAGAAATAGAGCACATATAGAGATAGATAAACATCATGATATACAGGGCTCAGCATAATTGAGTACACCCCATTTTGAAAATGAATATTTTTATCCATTTCTTAGAGAAGATAGGATATGGATTTTTTGGTGCAGTTAAACAAACTGATTTATCAAACAGATACATTTATTAAAATAATATTTAGTCACCAAACATATTTAGAAATTGAAAGGTAATACAATAAAAAAAAATACATTTTTCTATTTTTTTGCTACTCTTATATTTTCCTCTTTTTGAAATTTGTATTTGTGACATAAATTTGATGTACTAGTTTTTAGACCGTTATCGTAAGTTATTTTGTTAGATAAGCACCAGATTTGGCTTCAGTACTGACTAATGTAATGTATATGCACAAATAATATTCTTTGTAGCTTTCTATAAAAAATATGAATTTAAAAGATAGATTTGTAAGGGATGTACTTATATATGCTGAGCCCTGTACATCATTAAACATCATTTATACATGTTAGCATATACAAAAATCCACCGTACAGGGGAAATTATTAATATTAATGATAATTGTCTACAATGTTATTTTGACAATAGTATATTAAATAATATTGAATCCCTTTACGATTATTATAAAAACAATGCCTATTATTATTATTGTTGTTATTATTATCTTCCTATGCTATAATTAAGATTTATATTAATATTTTTTAATATTTACAGTGGTTTTATAATAATAATAATAATAATAATAATAATAATAATAATAATAATAATAATAATAATATTGTTAGTATTATTATTAATAATAATAATAATAATAATAATAATAGTAATAATAATAATAATAATAATAATAATAATAATAGTAATAATAATAATAATAATAATAGTAAATATTATTATTATCTTCTATGACATATATTTCAAATCATTCAAATGATTTTTGAATGGTCATACTTTACATTTTTTAATAAATGTTTTTTATTTAATATAAAAATATATCTATTAATTTTAATTCAGCATTTTAAAAGATACATTTAAAAAAATCTCTAAAAAAATTTAAAGTTAGGATGTACATGTTTTTTTCTGTTTTATCAGTATAGTTATAATACTGACATTTTTTACTTCACACTTTAAAAAATAAAAAAATAAAAACTAATTTAATATTAATAAATAAAAATCCAAAAAGTAAAAAACATGATTATCATATTATCAAAGTGCATCCAAGTCAATGTTTGTAGTTTCTTCTCATATATATTTGAAACATCGTATAGAAAAAGAATCCTTGTGTCTCTGACCCACATGCAGTGTGTGTGTGTATGTGTGTGTGTGTATGTGTATGTGTATGAAAGCATCAGACAGGTGAGAAATGAATGATTTATGCAGCATCAATGTCCCAAAACAGCGTTTGAACTAACACACTTTTCATGTGCTGTTTTCCTGATAACCAAACAATTATAAACTCTTTCATGTCCAGTTTCCAGCAGAAACAGAAACATATCCAGAGTCATTTATAAACAAAATAATCAGAGATCTGGAGTGAAAAAAACAGGATGAAATTGAACGCACAGATCAAACTACAACTGGTAAATTAATTGATATCGGGTAAAAAGAGAAACTCCCTTAGTCAGATTATTCTTTAATTAACACAAGGTAACAAGCCCCCCGATGCCTAGCACACGATTTAATTTCATTGAAGATATGTAAACTTTAAAGGCAGGGTCGTCCATCAAATGCCACCTTTCCTCTCTTCTCATCTCTCCTTCAGCCCTTCTCAAGCTCTCCCTCTCTGTCATCTAATCATCTTCACAAGGCAGGGTTAACCGTTAACTGAACAGTTAATTATGCTTGGAGAGAGAGAGAGAGAGATTGAGGAAGTATCTCCTCCTGTTATGCCTTGTGGGAACTAATTGTCCCCATAAGTATAGAAATGCCAGTAAATTTTGAACTTTGATGCCTATGAGGAAAAACGGTTCATAAATCATCCAGAAACGCAGGATTGTTTCCTGTGAGGGTTGGATTTAGGGGTAGGGTTGGGAGACAGAATATACAGTTCTACATAAAATCAGCATAAAAATCAGGTGAATGGAAAGTCCCATAAAGATAGCAGTACAAGTGTGTGTGTATGTCTGTATGTCTAAAAACTGAGCAGAATACACTCACTAGCCACTTTATTAGGTCCTTACTTGGAGCCCCTTTTGCCTTTAAAACTGCCTTAATCCTTCGTGGCATAGATTTAACATTCATTTTCTGTCGGCTTAGTCCCTTTATTAATCCGGGGTCACCACAGTGGAATGAACCGCCAACTTATCCAGCAAGTTTTTACCCAGCGGATGCCCTTCCAGCCGCAACCCATCAACAATACTTAGGTAGGCTGTGGTGTTGACATGATGCATAATTGGTACTATTGGCCCCAAAGTGTGCCAAGAAAATATCCCCCACACCATTACACCACCACCACCAGCCTAAACCGTTGATACAAGGCAGGGTAGATTCATGCTTTCATGTTGTTGATGCCAAATTCTGACCTTAACATCCGAATGTTGCAGCAGAAATCGAGACTTATCAGACCAGGCAACATTTTTCCAATCTTCTTTTGTCCAATTTTGGTGAGCCTGTGTGAATTTAAGCCTCAGTTTCCTGTTCTTAGCTGATGGGAGTGGCACCCAGTGTGGTCTTCTGCTGCTCATCTGCCTGAAGGTTCGACATGTTGTGCATTCATAGATGCTCTCCTGCATACCTCGGTTGCATACTCGAGTGGTTAATTGAGTTACTGTTGCCTTTCAATCAGCTCAAACCTGTCTAGCCATTCTCCTCTGGCATCAACAAGGCATTTGTGCACAAAGAACTGCCGCTCACTGCATATTTTTCCAGACCATTCTCTGTAAACCCTAGAGATGGTTATGCATGATATCCCAGTAGATCAACCTTTTCTGAAATACTCTGACCAAACAGTCTAGCACCAACAACCATGCCCAGTTCAAAGTTACTTAAATCACCTTTCTTCCCATTCTGATGCTCGGTTTGAACTGCAGCTGATCGTCTTGACCATGTCTACATGCCTCAACGCATTGAGTTGCTGCCATGTTATTGGCTGATTAGAAATTTGTGTTAATAAGCAGTTAGACAGGTGTACCTAATAAAGTGGCCAGTGAGTGTATATGTGATCCTGGATCACAAAACCCATCTGTAGTGTAGGACGACAATGATACAATATCCATTATAACACAAAATACAATGTATGGATCAAAATTATATTTTTTTGTGCCAACCATTAGATTATTAAGTAAATACAATGTTCCTAAATGTCCAACTGTAAATAATAACAAAAACAAGTGCAGCCATTAAGAGGTCATTAGTGTATGATGATGCCACATGATTAAATAATTTAACAATATTTTGGATGTTAGTTGCTTTTTAATTAACGGTAACACCATTATGGTAATTTTACAGCAATTTACCGGTATTAGTGAGAAAGGTAAATTTTTTTTATATAAAATTATATATTAATTCATTTCTATTTTAATTTTTAAAATCAATTAATAATAATTATGCCAAAAATTTAACTGGAAAATTTGCTAGTAAAAATAAATAAATAAATAAATTTAAAAAAAAAAGAATCGGCAATCGGAATTCGCCATTAAATTGAAGATCAGTCCATCACTATGTGTGTGTGTCAGAATATATTAGTCTTCAGCTATGTGTGTGTGTGTGTGTGTGTGTTGACCACCCTCTGTCCTTTTTAGCAGTCTCAGAGGTGGGTCCACTTTCTACATGGGCATCAGACAAAATGCTCAATAGAACTGCATTAACTCTCGACTCCAAAAAAGAGAAACATTTCAATTGAGCCTCGATCAATAAAACACATACAAACCCCTCGTTCGCACGCAAACACACACTCGCACGGCCTCCACGTTGCCCCCTTGCCTTTGCTTTTCTGTCAAAAGTTGGTGCTCTGCAGCGTGTGTATGTGTGTGTATATCTATCGAACCCGCAGCAGGAGCTCGAATGCTGTTTATAGACTCTCTTTTACACTCTTTAGACTTCCCTGCACTCACACACACATTGACTCCCTGCAAGGGGCAAACCAACACACATCGATCCCTCTCCGCTCCATGCCTTCCGCCACCATCGCCACCTCTCTCTTCCCTCTCTTAATTGTGGTTTCCTTGCGCTCTGAGGTGGATCAATGGGCTGATGGTGGGGTAGGCCGAGAGAAGCAGGGGGGTAGAGTGGAATCGATCCCCTAGCAGGAGTGTCCCCTCTCCCCTTACCTTCCCCAGGCTCTGGGTCCCCTCCTCCACATTTGCGGCTGCTATGCTAACGTTTGCCTCGATGCTGTCAATCTTCTCCTGCTGAGCCTAAGATGGAAAGACACCAGTTACAGAGCGTTCACACACACATATACATTTAAACTCCATAGCACTCCAGACAGATATGTGTATTTACATGTGTTTGGGTAACTGACAAATGGATGAAGAGAATTAACATCAACAATTATTATTAACAATTATTCATTTAGAAAAAAGTGCCATGTTTTCAGACATGTTTTTTTTTATTTTATCAGACCTTGATAGCATAAAATGAAAATTAATGATCTGGTAAATTGAAAGAAATTAAGAATTATTAGGTGGTCTGTTAATTTTTCTATATTATATTATATTATATTATATTATATTATATTATATTATATTATATTATAATTTACAATACGTTTTTACAGCATGTAAACAATATGTTTGTACACTCACTGGCCACATTATTAGTTACACCTTACTAGTACTGGGTTGGAACCCATTTTGCCAAAAGAACAGTCTTAATCCTTCGTGGCATAGATTCAACAAGGTACTGGAAATATTCTTTAGAGATTTTGGTCCATATTGACATGATAGCATCATGCAATTGCTGTAGATTTGTCAGCTACACATCCATGATGCGAGTCTCCTGTTCCACCTCATCCCAAAGGTGCTCTATTGGATTGAGCTCTGGTGACTGTGTAGGCCATTTGAGTAGAGTGAACTCATTGTCATGTTTAAGAAACCAGACTGAGATAATTCACGCTTTATGACATAGCAAGTTACCTTGTTAGAAGTAGCCATAAGAATATGGGCACACTGTGGTCATAAAGGAATGGACATGGTCAGCAACAATACTCAGGTAGGCTGTGGCGTTGACATAATTGGTACTAATGGGCCCAAAGTGTGCCAAGAAAATATCCCCCAGTCCATTACACCACCACCAACAGCCTGAACCGTTGATACAAGGCAGGAAGCAGGACTCAATACCATCCAAATGTTGCAGCAGAAATCAAGACTCATCAGACCAGGCAACGTTCTATTGCCAATTTTGGTGAGCCTGTGTGAATTGTAGCCTCAGTTTCCTGTTCTTAGCTGACAGGAGTGGCACCTGGTCTTCTGGTGCTGTAGCCCATCCACCTCAAGGTTGGACGTGTTGTGCATTCAGAGATGCTCTTCTGCATACCTCGGTGTAAACGAGTGGTTATTTGAGTTACTGTTGCCTTTCTAGCAGTCCAAACCAGTCTGGCCATTTAACTTCTGACCTCTGGTATCAACAAGGCATTTGTGCCCACAGAACTGCCTCTTACTGGACATTTTCTCTTATTCGGACCATTCTCTGTAAACCCTAGAGATGGTTGTCCCTGAAAATCCCAGTAGATCAGCAAGTTTCTGAAATACTCAGAGGAGCTCATCTGACACCAACAACCATGCCACGTTCAAAGTCACTTAAATCACCTTTCTTCCCCATTCGGATGCTCGGTTTGAGCTACAGCAGATCAACTTGACCATGTCTACATGGGTAAATGCACTGAGTTGCTGCCATGTGATTGACTGATTAGAATATTGTGTAAACAAGCAGTTGTCCTTATGTACCTAATAAAGTGACCGGTACGTGTATACTGTTAAACAAAACAGAACAAAAAAAATATTAAACCAAAGGTTTCATTAGTCAATTTGTTAAATGTAAACATATTTTGCAATTTAGACATATTTTAGGCATATGAGGAAAAAAAATATAAGTTGAAGGTGGTCACATTTAAATTTAGATGATGAAAATGCTCTAAGTAGTTTATCAATTGAAACTTCTAGATAAATACAATTAAATACAACAATTTTTGAAAACGCTGTTTAAAATCACTTTTTATGTCAAACTGCATGAAAGAACTTCTATCAATTGTCCAAATATGTATCTACAATGATTTAATGCCAAAACAAATCGAATTCCTATCCCAATGAATGCACAAACACTTCATAAATGGTAAAAAGTGGACAAAGACGAGCTCAGTAATCTTGGTAGTGGGTAGCTGGGGGTTTGAGTGCTGGGGCAGAAGGGTTGATGGGAGGGGTCTGGATGTCAGGGGGTAACAGGGTGGTCTGTCGGAAGCTTATGAAATATTCAAAGAGTGGCAGCTGTCTCTCTGTCTAAATCAGTGTGAGCTCAAAGTAATCACTACACACACATGCACACGTAAACACACACACAATAGAGAGTGATGGAAAAATCTTCTTTAACTCTCCAGCAAAGAGTTACATGAGCCTGGCACCTGCTCCTCTATAGCATGTGTTATTGTGAAAAGAAATCTGTTTTTTGCATTGCTCTTTGCAGCTCATGGCGACTGTAAAGTTGAAGTTCCTCTTCCTGTTCATTTTGAAATAATTTGTGAGTATGTACATGTGTCCTTAGTGTGCTTTCTCAGGACTCAACAATAAGGATGGCCTGCTGGCCCAGAGCCAATGTGAGAGGGTTTCAGGTCAGTTGATAAACCGTCTCTATCTGACCAGTGCTGCACTGCCAATAAATCTTACATGTGTTGATCTTCTGTACATGTTCTTATGTCTTGTGGATTTTGTGGAGATATATTGCACATGGCTGATGTGAACTATGCAGATATAAATGTCACCAAATGTTATGTAGACAAATGTTGGTGTTAATACATTTTGAGACTGATTTGTCATAATCGTAAACGCATCAGAAAAGATGGGGGGGATAGACATCTGGATGGATGGATAGATGGATGGATAGACCGACGGATGAATGGATGAATGAATGGAATATTAGCTAGACAGAAAGACAGACAGACCGATCGATTAATGAACTGACCAAAGGTTAATATATGGATGGATGGATGGATGGATGGATGGATGGATGGATGGATGGATGGACGGATGGATGCATGGATGGATGGAGAGAATAATAGCTAGGCAGAATGACTGGATGGATGGATTGACCAAAAGAGAACTGGATAGAATGAAAGATAAAACAACAGATAGACCTATATATGGATGTATGTATGCATGTATAGATGGATAGATGGTTGGAATAATAGCTAGACAGAAAGACAGACAGACTGATCGATTAATGAACTGACCAAAGGTTAATATATTGATGGATGGATGGATGGATGGATGGACGGATGGATGCATGGATGGATGGAGAGAATAATTGCTAGGCAGAATGACTGGATGGATGGATTGACCAAAAGAGAACTGGATAGAATGAAAGATAAAACAACAGATAGACCTATATATAGATGTATGTATGCATGTATAGATGGATAGATGGTTGGAATAATAGCTAGACAGAAAGACAGACAGATTGATCGACTGATGAACTGACTGACAAAATGAAAGATAGAACAATAGTTGGATGGATGGATGGATGGATGGATGAATGGATGGACAGAATAAATGCTAGGCAGAAACACAGATGGATGGATAGATTGACTAAAAGCAAACTGAATAGAATGAAAGATAGCAACAGATAGGCCTATACACGGATGTATATATGTATGTATGAATGGATGTATGTATGTATGTATGTATGTATGGATGGATGGATGGATGGATGGATGGATGGATGGATGGATGGATGGATGGATGGATGGATGGATGGATGGATGGATGGATGGATGGAAAGAAGGAATAACAGCCAGACTGTAAGACCGACAGATTGATCGATTGATGAACTGACCAATGGTTAAATGGATAGAATGAAAAATAGAACAACAGACAGAACAATATATGGATGGATGGATGGATGGATGGATGGAAGGACGAACAGACAGCATAATAGCTAGAAAGAGAGACAGAAGGATTGACAGATTGACCTAAAGTGAACAATAAACGTGAAAGCATCAGTTAAGATGGAATGTATATATCCAATCAGTTTAGTTAAACTTCTCAAGGATAAATGACTACCAAAGTGTAACCACAGAATGATAAATAAATAGTTGGATAGATAGATAGAAATTGAATGAAAGTTAGACCTATACATGGATGTATGTATGGATGTATGAATGGATGGATGGATAGATGGATAGACAGATGGAATAATAGATTTATTGATTAATTAATTGATCAAAGGTTAAATGAACAGAATAAAAGATAGAACAATGAATGGACCGATTTATGGAAGGATGGAAAAATAGATAGCTAGAAAGAGCTTTACAATGATGAATGGATAACTTGATAGCTAGACAGAAAGACAGATAGATACATGAATGGATCAAAAGCTAACTGGACAGAACGACAGAAAGATATTACAACAGATAGACTAATACATTATGGATGGATGGCTGGAACGATAGCTAGACAGAACAGAAAGGTGGACAAACAGACGGATAGACAGAAAGTTGTTTTTGTGTCATAATATTACTATTATTATGTCAAGTCCAATTAAGCTGCTGTTTCTGTTGGTGAAATAATCTTCAGTCAGAAAAAAACACGAGCCAAAACACTCATAACTAATCAGAATCCTATAAGCATTTATGCATTAGTCCTCCACAAACACCCTGTAAACAGGCTATTTTAAGCCGCTCACTAATGACTGGCTACGAAAGCTATTGATGGCTTTCTTTTCTCTGTCTCCTTCCCTCAGGAGTAGACAGTAATCAGCACCGTCTGCTCACAAGCTGCATGGAGACCCTTGAGAGCACACAGTCACACAAGCAGACCTCCTGGGCTCATCTGAGGCTCAGTGTTAACCGAATAAACTATACCGTGGGTGTCCTCTACTGAGAGGAGAGCGCTAATAAGGCTGGCTGTCATCATATTATACTTACCATCATCCACATCCCATCATCGCTACACAACAGGGTGTCAAGTGAATAGAGACAGACAAGATCAATCGTTACTGATATTAAGCTTTTGTATTTGTGGGCCTGAATGAGCTGAATAGATGGAGATAAACAGATGAATAGACTTTTGTTTATATTTATATAGTAATGTTTGTTTTTGTTGTAGCTTTTTACTACCGGGTAAAATCTTCTGCTTTTCAAGCCTGCATTTATTTGTTCCAAAGTACAGCAAAAGCAATAGTAACACTTTAGAATAATGGACCATTAGTTAATTTATTTACTAACATTAACTAAGTATCAATATTCTTGTAAAGCATTAATTAATCATAGTTCAACATTAAATAAAGGATTATTAAAATCCAAAGTTGTGCTTGTTAGTTAATGCAACATAACTAACGTTATTTAACTTAAATAACATTAACTAACACTAACAAAGATATACACACATACCATAATAAATGTTTTACTAATAGTTTGTTCATGTTGGTAAATACATTAACTACAGTGACATTAACTGATGGATCATTATTTTAAAGTGTTATCAAAATCAATTACATTTTAAAGTGTTTTTCTATTTAATATCAGATTTTCTTGAAAAAATATAGAAATAAAATAGATTAAAAATGTAAAATAAATAGTGACATAAAATAACTGTTTAAAAACAAATTCTAAAATAATTGTTATCTGCCTATTAAAATAATTTCTGAAAGGTCCATGTGATTGCAGTAATGATGCTAAAATTTAACTTTGAAATCTCAGAAATTAATTTAATTTGAAAATAAATGAAAAAAGAAAATAGTTATTTAATATAGTGAAAATATTCCTAAACTTTTCGCTGTACTTTGGATCAAATAAATGTAGTGGTAATGAAATTATTTTAAATTATTTTAATTTGAAGTCAAACTAAATGAAAATGGAAAATGTTTACTTACTAAAATAAAATAAGTTTAGTTTATATTTATAATTTCCAGTCATTCAAAATGTGTATACATTTCTATAAATAAATAAATGTTTGAATTAAAAAAAGAAAATCTAAATGAGAAAACCGAGGCTCACATTTGCAATTACTGCATTATTTTTCACACAGATTTCCTACAGGGAAATTTAGATGCATGATACCAATATTCAATCATTCATTTATTTTCTTTTCGGCTTAGTCCCTTTATTAATCTGGGGTCGCCACAGCGGAATGAACCGCCAACCTATCCAGCATGTTTGTTGCGGGGGATGCCTTTCCAGCCACAACTCATCACTAGGAAACACCCATACACACACACACATGATGGACAATTTAGCTTTACCAATTCACCTGTACCACATGTCTTTGGACTGTCATATCAAACTGGAGCACCCGGAGGAAACCCACGCCAACACGGGGAGAACATGCAAACTCCACACAGAAATGACAACTGACCCAGCCGAGGCTCGAACCAGCGAGCTTCTAGCTGTGAGGCGATCGTGCTACCCACTGCGCCACCATGATGCCTGTGACACCAATTATTTTATTTTTTTAGCACAGAAAGACCCAAAAAGGAATAAGATTTTTCACAAACTCTCCTAGATAGACACATTTGAATCTAAAGAATGTAATATAATTTAGAAACACATTTTAGGAGTTTAAAACTGTATCTGTACTTAATGTCCAATTCTTCTTCTACATATTATTATTATTATTATTATTATTATTATTAGCTAGTTTGTTATTTAGCAATGAAAATTAAAATTAATTTCTAAATAAATACGCTACTGGTCAAAAGTTTGGGGTCATTTTTTGTTGCTGTTCATTATTGCTTATTAATAAAATAATTTATATTAAAGTGACTTCTGAAAGATCATGTGACTCTAAAGACTGGAGTAGTGAAGCTGAAAAAAAACACTGGAATAAATTCATAAATTAAATATAAACTACTTTTGAACAGTTATGTTATAGTGCAATAACATTTCACAAATGTATTATTTGTACTGTATTTTTGATGAAAAAATTGCAGCTTTGGTGAGCAGGAAACGCTTATTTTAAAACATTTAAACATCCTACTAACTGCAAACTCTTGACCGGTAGTGTATATGTCTAAAAAAACATTTCAAAATAAATCTGAAGACAGGCTTGATCTCCTCTTTTCTACCTGGCATCCAACTGCATGCTGTACTAATAATGGCTGTTATAAGGCATAGATTCTCATTAATCCTTGCTGGTTAGTACATGGCTGACAGACTGTCACCAATCTCTGTATGTCTTCTCAATCACACGCACACACACACACACACACACACTGATGAGATCAATACCACCTTGTTGGCTTTCAAGAGACAAAGCCATTTGTCTGACAGCTCTGCCAAACCTAAGGGCTTTGGTCAGCACCCTTTATAAAACACATGTACACCATAAATACTTTCTTGCTGTGTCTTTCTTTTAAAAAAACAAAGAATGAATTGTTTTCATAGATGTGCGATACTTACATGAACAATAGTGGAGAACTCGTTCACTAAACCATTCAGTTGCAGCAGGTCCTAAACAAACAAACCACAACAATCATGCAAAACACTGCAGGTAGGGTAATGTAAGTAGTAAATGTAGTAATAATAGTTACCACCATACTTCTATGAATGATTGATCACATTAAAGGGTTATTCACCCAAAAATGTATATTCTGTTATTGACCATAATCTCATTTCCCTAAGTCTTAACATTTAAATGAAAAATAAAATAAAGACCAAGCTTTCAAAATGAACAGGTGAATGAAAAAGTACCCAAATATCTGTTTGCATGCGTTACCTCAGCTAAAGAGTCCCAGGACTCTGCGGCGTTCTGTTCTGAAGGGATTTCAGGCAGGAGCAGCTGTGTTTGAGTGACAGGGGAACCAGAGACACCTGTGTCATCCTCACCTGAACAATTACATCAAAGTCAAAAAAGTAAAAATAAGCACAGACTGATTGACCTCATAAAGCAGAGACACATACTGTGTGATGTTTCTGCAACAGTGGCAATAGCTTCGTTGAAGTTTTGCCTGTTGACAGCATCCGAGTGAATCTGGAGAAACTCTTGAATGGCAGCAGAGGCTCGATCTCTGATTGGCTGAACGAGTTTCTCCAGAGCTTCAGCATCAACACTACGAACTCGTCCACACAACTTCTCCATCTCTCGCAGGTTAGATCGCAGCTGCTGCAGGGGCAAACATTAAACATCTTCTTTATAACTGGATTTATGGTTATATTCAAAATCTCTATATAGTATTTTTTTTTCTATACAAACTGGACTGAATATTGTGAATTATTTTGTCATAACTCTTAAAGACCCAAAAATTCTCGCCTAGAACTGCCAAATATTTCAATTTGCACCTGCAGTCTTAATGTAAATATTTTTATTTTATTTTAGTTTCAGTAAAAATAAACTTTATATTGTCACATTTACAAATTTCTAAAAAAATGCCTACATTTTTAAACAAAACAAATATGCACAAAAGCTTGCACATCACAAATATACCCCAGGCCTATTTTAGCTATATTTGGTGTTAGTGATGATGCAGAACTATCAATCAAAGTAGCGTGATCAGAGTTATAACCCTTTTGGCACACAATTTGATTTTACTGAATTGGAAACAAAAAGATCCTCCCAGTTGCTCCACATTGATAAAAAAATGTTATGTCTGCCTACAACTTGAGAAGCTCAGACTTTCATTCAAAATTAAAACTAAGAATTTCTATGTAATATGGAATCCATTTATTGAGTATTTGTACAAGAGAGCAGTGATAGAACCCTAGTAGATAAACCTCAAATTCCCCCTCATACTTTTTTTGTCTTCCCCCCACTTTTTTGTACTCTTTTTATGTTACAACTTCTTGTTTAAAAGAAAGAAAAAAAACATATACATGTTGAAAAGTTATAATTCGTACTGATGTAAAAAAAATTAATAAAGAGATTGTTTAAAAAAAATATTTGAATGGCAAAAAAATAAATAAAAATAAAAAAGCTTGCACATCAATCTAAAAGGGGGCTCAGTCTAAAAACAAAAAGTACAAAAATATACAAAAAGGAGGCAACATCAAAGCTCCAAAAATAATGAATTTACTCATTTACACAAAAATTACAAATTTAAATGTGAGAGTCTTTAAAGTTAATAATTTCATATTTTTGGAGCTTTGCTGTTGCCGCCTTTTTTACATTTTTAAATACAAATTTCTAAAGTTAAATGATTTCCTAAACATAAATTTTTTTTTTAATTTGTCATTAAATTTGTCAGATTGTTTATAGGATATTTAATAATGGAAACTAGGGTAGCACAATATATTGAAAATTATCGTTATCAAGAAAATAGTATATGGGATATCCATATCTCAGGGATGTTCAATAAATTTAATTAATTTGATGTGCCAAACATTTGTGTGCTGCATGCATAGGTTGTTTATCCAAATCTGACCATCAAATCTGATGGGACCTTGCTATCTATATTCCCATAACTTAAAGTTAGTAATATGGTAAGAAATACTGTTTTAGCAAGATGCAACAACAATATTGCATATTGCATGCTTTCCCAGTATCGCGTAGCCCTAAAAAAAATTGTCTCTATTATTTTTAAAGATAAAGAGGTTAAATATAACACACTTCACTGAACTGGATTATTTACTGAACTTTTTAGAATTTCATAAATTTAATAGTCCTGGATATCATCATTTTAAAATTGCCTGTTATATCTAGGTTGTATATGCACAACAGAGCCCTATAATGATTTATTTTCTCATTAATTACAAACCAGACCTTGACGAGAACCAGAAGTTATAGATTAAAAAACAGGTGCTTTGTCAGGTCCTGTTGACTCATGTCCAGAAGCAAACATCTATAAGTCATTACAGATCAATTCATACATATTGAACAAAGAGGTCAAAGTTAACAGGCAGCCAATCAAACTGTTCCACATGACTGCACTCATTTCACACTTAGAATAATCAGACTCATAAAATCATTCTTCATAACTAAATCACACAAGACATTAGAAGTTAGCTTTTCAATGAGAATGAAGGCACTAAGGATCTCAGAGGCAAATATAATTAATATAAATCTTGGTCAACAACAGTAGGGATGGAGTGGATATCTAAAAAATTATTTGACTTTTTTTTCATATCAGAAGATATCATTAATTGAGGATTCATTACTTATGTTTTAAGTTTAAAAAGAGATTTTTAATCCCGAGTGTAAGTAGTAGAAACCAATCACCGAATTGTTAAATATAAAGGTATGTGTGTGAATGAGTGTGTGTATAGATGTTTCCCAGTGATGTGTTGCATCTGAAAGGGCATCCGCTGCGTATAACATATGCTGGATAAGTTGGCAGTTCATTTTGCTGTGGTGACCCCCAGATTAATAAAAGGACTAAGCCGAAAAGAAAATAAATAAATGAATAAAAACTGAGTTGTGTGTTTTTTTTTTTTTTTTAAATGTACATGTCAGTTCAAATGTAATCAAACCTAAATTTGCACAAAGGACTAACCAGTCTTTGTGGACAATCAGCTGTGTCCATTTCTGCTTTAAACATAAACAGTATATTAAACAATTATCAAACACATTTGTAGTATAAAAGAGATATTTGATGATAAAGGGACTAATCCGACAGAAAATGAATGAATGAATGAATATTATCAGAATATCAAAATCAACTGTAAGCGGTAGATCTTTCTTATACCTACCTAAACTCTGGAACAGCCTTCCTAGCACAGTTCGAGAGGCAGACAAACTCTGGCAGTCTAAAGTTAGATGAAAGTGCCCGTGAACCGAAAGCTTCGATTATTATTCTTTTCTTACTGTGACGCAGTTCCTAGAGAAACTAAATTTTAAATAGGCGTGACTTGTTTTTTCTACCGCGGGCTGAATGGACTTAGTAAAGTAGGCATTTCATTCGGAAAGATCAGGAAAAGGGTTTGGGGAGAGTTATTATAACTTAACAGACTCCTCCTGCTCATCATTTCTGTTTGTTGTCAAAACTGACAGTTGGAGCAGCATTAGCCACGCCCATTAACTTAAAATCACGAAATCTGCTAATTTAACTGAAAACAAACAGGAAGTGCATTTCAGATTTAGGTTACATATTAGAAGGGCAAATATTTTTTTCCTTTCTTAATGACATGCACAGATGAATTGTTCATCACAAAATTAGCAATGCAAGCTAACAAAATCATATGGTTAGTTTTGATTTCTTGGGGACTTTAAAGACACATCTCTTTGCATTAGCATACACATAAAACACAAATGCTTTTGAAATCCAAATCCTCTAAAGGATTGTTAGGCTGCAATAATTAGGGCTACCAGAGGCAGGAACACTTCCCAAAAGACATTATAATTTCAACGGCATCTATGCTTATGCTAGTCTGCTTTTCTTTATTGCAAGCTCTCCATAATCCTGGAACAGGTCGTATCCTGAGCAGATGCTGTGGTGGTCATGGAGGAGTGGCAGACAAGTCTCTGCATTGATCCTGTGGGCCAGACTGAAAACCATACCTGTCAACATTGGGATGTGAAAATAACGAATATGCTTACCATAATAAGGGATTCCCCTGACCCCCCCCCCCCCCCCCCCCCCCCTAAAAAATTCCCCAAATTACTAAACATGTTCTTTTGGAGCGGTTTCGTTGTAAAATAAACAGTTAAATGGTCAGTAATATGTTTTATTATTATTTACAAAATAAAAAATAAATATATACATTAGCAGCAAATACTTAAGCAAACAGTTCAGCTTATTAAAATGAATAGCTAATATAAAGAAACAGAATCAAGCTAACAAATTCCATTAGCCGTTTCTTCACTGTATAACTTACACATTCTCAATAAAGAGCAACGAATGAATGATTTATTTATATTTTTTTGGTTTGATTAAATTAAATAAGAGGTGTAACTTTAAAAATGCACACATCTAAGGTTATAAGGAAAGCAGCTGACTGCTTTCCTAACTGTTTATGCTCCTTTAGGACAAAATTACTTGTGTTTAAAAATAAAAAACCCTACCAAGATCGACATCTTTAGATATAATTATTAGTTATATGTATATCTATTTACACACGCACCCAAAACCCAGACTTTTGCTCTGCTTCAAATCAAGTATACAGAATCCGTTTAAGAAACAGCGTCTATTTATCACTATGGAGTGCGTCAGCTGAGAGTCATGCAGACTGTTTTGAGGATTGCATATGAAGCGGCGACGGCACCTGTAATGAAAATGAAGGGAATCGCGTGTAAAACTAGTCTTTTCACAACTCATCCAAAGCATATTGTTTAGTTTTAATTACATTTTTGACTGTTGTACGCTGTAACATAACTTAAATAATTCAGCATAGTGATATGGAACTGACATGCGGTCAAGACCTGCCTGGAGCTACTTGATCAGTTTGGTTCCCTGAAAATATTAGCACACCTTAGACATTAGAATCTACATGAATCTAATCAGAATCAAGCATTCAACAGTTTAAATCATCTTTTTTTGCCCAGCCCTAGTCAATACACACTACTCTCCCCCTCTCAATCTCTTCTATAGGTGTGTTATGAGAGCAGTCTTAAGGGTTTTTGATCTCTTGCTCTCCTTCTTTCCCTCCCCGGGGAGCTACTTTAACAATGTCTGTCTTGTTTCCATCTATTGTCAGTCGCCCACATCTCGCTGACACAGAAACACTTGCAGGCTTTCGTTCACTCTCTGCAGTGCCGGACACAGGAAAGCTCTCTGGCGTCTCTGGAGGAACGAGACCTGGGTGCTGAGGTCACACACACACACTCACAGTACATAACACACTCCCAGGACTGTCCCGCGAGAGCCCCGGACACACTCTCAGAGACATTAACACACAGGTTACACGCTTGTCTGGCCATTAGGTAGAGAAAAGACATCACACGTACACCATGCAGTACACCAGAGGCCTGAGTCAAACATTACTTAATATATATAGACACATCCTACAGCTCAATCACAACAGGATAAAGGTATGGGAAATTTGTGAAAGCACAGATTAAAAGGGGTGGTCACGTCGAGAATGATGACTATAATAACTATATTAGCATCCATACAAGTGGATGATATCATTCAGTTTATTTTTGTGTGCACTGCAATTGTGGTGATTGGTAATGTTTATATCGTTCACTGGCTGGAAAGATTGGATTTGAAAACAGTGTGTAAAGTGTTTTGTTTTGTTTTTTTACAGTTAGAATGTTTTTATAAACTATATCTTATCTCTATAAATTGATCCCTTTATGGTGATTGTTCTCAATTTAAGGGACCGCCCTACTATACATCCAGCACAATATGGCGCAAAATGTGTTTGGCCCGATTTGCTAATTTCAGACCAGCACAACAGTAATTTTCACGTTTTGCGCCACGTTCTTTATATTACAAATCTATTTGCGCTACTTTGTGGACTCACTGGTGTGCCGGTCTATAAAGGAGGTGTGTTAGGACTAGCCTGATCTCACGAGAAAACGTAAGCATTTTACATTTTGTCAGTTTAGTGGCTAATTCAGTCGTACAAAATTGTACGAATTTAAAATGGAGGCGTGGCACCTAACCCCACCCCTAAACCCAACCGTCATTGGAGGATAAGCAAATCGTACTAAATTGTATGAATTCATACAAATTAGCCACTAAATAAAAAAGTTACGAATTGCCGTGTGTTGGTTAAGACACACTGTTGGCAGGTTGCTATTTTGAAGAACTGAAATTGACTGCACCATTGACCAACTAAAACCTGGTCTAAAGTCCAGCGCAGAGTGCATTAGTTATGCACCTATGCGTGTCCAAAATGCTTACACATTGCTTATTACACACAAGATGTACAGCAATACACGAACATCTTTACAAATGAACAAAATAAAGGATTAAAAAGTTAAAATAATTATTATTTTCTACATAAATACAAAAACCACTGCCTCCATTCCATGTCGGGGGGGCTTTCAGTTCATGCATGACAATTTGCAATTGTATAATGTTATTATTATCAGCAGTATTATTTATTATCTGCATATTTATAGTTGTTTTAATAAAGAAAAAGTTGAGATTTGTCCACCTGTCGGGTTTTGGAGATGTCTGTATCACCATAAGGGGCATCAGAATAGGACATGTGTTTGGGCATAACTTATTTGACCACACTTTATGAACCATTATAAACAAATATTGTTAATTTGTTTGTTTGCTGGAAATTAGAACTGAATTTAGAAATAGTTTTAAAGCACATCTTTGCGCTTAACAAACTAAAATAAATATGTAGGCTAATGGATGTTTTCAGCTGACTTTCCTAGATCGTTAAAATGTAGCCCTAAATGTGCCTTTTTTTTTTTTTAATAGTTTTGTTTAATTTAAATGAATAATTCACCAAATAATAAAAAATTCTGTCATCATTTACTCTCCCTTCACTTGTTCAAACTTGCTGGTAACTGGAGACTTAATGACTTCTATAGTATTGTGTTTTTTTCCTACTATTAAAATCAATGGGTCCCAGCAACCAGGGTCCTTTAAAATATCTTCTTTGTTAGGCTTAAAACCACATGGGGAGCATGAATGATGAAGTAATTTGAATTTTTGGCTGAACTATCCCTTTTAGTTTAACATTCCTTAAACTGCATCTTTTTCTTTATTGCATATTATTTATTGTTATTTACAGCAGAACTATTAAAAGAAGGAATATACAGAAGACTAAAAATCCATATGCATAAAGGCATGTTTTTTTTTTTCATTTAAAGTCAGTTTTTTTTTATTTTGCCTTTATTGTGATTGGACAGTACAATGACAAAAAAAAATGTTGGAAAAAGTTGGAAGGAAGAACTGAAAAAGTTCCATGAGCCAGGAATCAAACTTGTGAAGCTCGAAGTGCAATAACACAACATGTCTGTGCACTGCCTACATGGCTATTAGCACCAAAAACTGTTTGTTTTTATCATTTTTATGCATCTATGCTATTTTTTTCTCACTGACCCCAAACCTTTGAAAAAGTATACTTTAACAAACAAATAGTTTATAACTATACTACAGACATAACCTAATATATCCCATAACTGTTTAAAATTGTATAAATTGTTAAGATTTTTGGAAATTCTCTGATATGTTCAAGCCTTCTTAGCTTTGTTATATGCAGCAACAAAATAACAAATCATTTCTATGAATGTTATTGTTTTACAACTTTAAATGCAGTTTTCTGAATGAAAACAATAGCTGTTATCATTCTGTTGCAGTTTTAATATACCTGGACCGTGCGGCTGGAGTTGATGTGCTCATGATGAAGTTTGTCCCACTGTCTGTTTCTCTGAAACTGCAACAAGAAAGCTCTGTTAATATCACATCTTAAACCATTTATACAAATGTTTTATATTCTCGAAAAATAATTCAAAGAACATCTAGGTTGCCATGGTTATACAACCCCCCAATATTCTATTATCCTATTATAAGTTCCTCAAACAGGCAGACAGAGGAGAGAGATTCCCTATGGTGACCACACACATGGCTCTCTCTGTTCTCCATATGCCGAGTTTTGGGTGTGATTTGCTGAGATTTGCTGTCGCTGTGCATGTGTTTGTACCTTTTCTATGTTGTGCTGGTGCTGGTGCAGTCTCTCCAGGTCAGTAGGGATGGCCACTTTAATAAATTTCTGAATGGGGGGTTCGAGACGCCGGAGTGGAAGTTTACCAGCCTCGTCCGCCATCATCAGCCTCTCTTATAAGGTCACAAGATTAATGCATCCATCCATCTATACCCAGCCTTGCTCTGAAAGATGATATTAACTCTCATAAACTGCAAGTGAAAATATAAATATTATTATTTCTTTAAAAATAAACAAATGATTATGGGGATTGATCACACAAAAATTATAATTCTGTCATGTACCCACACTCCACTTGTTCCAAACGTGAGTTTGGTTATTCTGTTAAACACAAAAGGGAGGTTTTGAAGAATGTTAGAGTCCAGTAGCCCTTGGCTTCCACAGAGGTAAAGTTGGTTTTATATTCGCACATTCGTTCAGTGACAACTTGTGACACAATCCCTATATAGTTTACCACAGCACTTAGAATATTCGGTCTGAAATAACCTGCAAGTGTGACTTGAAAACAACATTAACACTGTTTATTTGACTGTGAACAATGACGTGCTTTGATAGCCATTGACTGCTGATATTATTTCAGTATTTAGATAATACTTTTATGAAATTATTTTATAATGGGAAAAGTCTAAATGTGCGAACATGAAACCAACTTTATGGCTTCCATTGTATTTTTGTCAATTTCAATGGATGTCAAAGGCTGCTATTTTTCAACCTATTTTCTTCAAGATATGTTTTGTGTTCAACAGAAAAAAAAACTCATAAATGTTTGAAACCACGTTAGGTGAGCCTTTTGGGTGAGCTAAAAGTAGCAAAATAACATATTGAGTCTTTATCTAGAATAGTTTAATGGTCATTTCATGGAATTTTTATATAAGCTTTACCATGGCATTGTACTCTGAGGTGATTCCATATACTTCACAATTTTATTATGTTGACGTCACATGTGTAGAAATCATGTTACAATTAAGCTACTAAACTGTTACTAAACTACAACAAGTCAATAGGCTATCATGTCAAATGTTAAAAACAACACGTTTAACGATACGAGGATGTTAAACTAACGTTACATGACAAAATAGAATTGCGTGGTCACATTATCTTATGCCATATACTACAAAGAAACAAAATCCCTCGGGTAAACAGCTGTGTACAAGTTCAGCTAGCTTGCCTCACTTAACAGAGACTTTCAGCTTATTGTGCCACATATGCTGATACTTTCGTCTGTAGTTTCACACAACTCTTTCCTTACCTGTCGAAGTAAACAACTGCTAAACTGCGATATCCTGCTGTCGGTGATTTTAGTCCCTGTCAAGAACTTTGTGTATTTGTAAACAGTGGTTTCGCTTTGTGCAGTGTGCAACGCCTAAATCTGTCCGACTAAGCGGAACCATTATTTTAACGAAGTGAACGTGCTGTAGATGATTATCAACCAAAGCTTGTGATTATTAGAACAAAATATTGTAACAATAATAATGTTGTGAAATATCATTCTAAATTCAATTAATTGTTTTCTATGAGACTGTATTATGTGTATAGCATCTTTACACACCAGTCTTCAGAAATAATTCTGATCATAAAATTATGGTTTATTGTAAATTATTTGTATACAGACTGCTATTATTTGTTATTTTTATTATTATCATCAATGTTGAAACGTTTTGTGTGTGTTTGTGTGTGTGTGTGTGTGTGTGTGTGTGTGTGTGTGTGTGTGTTTGACTTTTCATGTTTCTTTGATGAAGATAAAGTAACAACGTAAAAGCATTTAATTAAAGTATTTAGCAACAGAATTAATGCAGTTTATGTTACTTTTAATATGTTATGAAAAACGGTATATTACAGAGGAAAAAATGGAATAGTATATGTTTCCCATAAAACAGGCTGTATGAATAATAAGGCTTGAGTGATGAGGCAGAAAATGCAGCTTTGAATCACAGGAATTAATAACATTTTAAACGGATTCAAATCAAAAGCAATACATTTAAATTGATACAATACCTCACAATATTACTCATTTTACAGCATTTCGGATGTAATAAATACATTCCTGGTGAGCAGAAGAGACTTAAACATTTAAAGAACAACTCTCAAAACATTTAAACAGGAGTGTAGCCTATATACAACATGTGAATATTTTCAAAATAACACTTTTTTTATCAGTGCATAAAATTATTCAAAGGAAAAAAAGGAATTAGTCTTTTTTCAACTTTAAAAACAATTTTTGTATAGTGAAACATTACAGATTTCAGAGGAATTTAGTATCTTTCTCATGAGCAGTCAGGATTCATACACTGTAAAACCCAAAAAGTTAAGATAACTCAAAACATTTGAGGAAACCGATTGCAACAAACCATTTAAGTTCACAAACTAATCCTAATGAGTACTGTGAACTATTTAAGTAAACTAAGCAATTTGAGCACAGTAAAACCCAATAAATGAAGAAAACCCAAACCAACTGAGTATTGCAAAACCCAATAAGTTAAGGCAACTCAAACCATTTGAGGAAACCGATTGCTACAAACCACTTGATTTAAACTAATCTATATGAGTTCTGTGAACTTACTTCATTTAAGTTGAAGTAATGAGGTATTTAATAAACTAATTTCTTTTAACACTGAGTTCAAAACTCCTTTCAAATGAGTAGAATTAACTTTCAGTAAATTTTAAGTTAACTACACTCATTTCATTTGATAAAGTTGACTGCTGGGTTTTACAGTGAAGTCATATGGTCACTGAGTTAAGTTAAAAGGCACAGTACATCACTGCTTCCACATGCTAAGAAAGTCTTAAAACAATTTAAACAGAAAGGGATACCAGAAAGTTATTAGATAACAACAGAATTACATCATAGAGTCAGGGTACTTCACAAATACCACTCTTTACATTCTGAATTAGTTTACTTTGTGTTAGATTTACCTTTTTTGTATTATGGGTAATGGATGTGTTTGAGCTAACCCTTTAAATGTGCAATATGAGTTACATAATTCACTGTGTATGTAAATAAATTAGGAGATTTGTTTGAGATAATTAAGGTTGAGACACTCTGCACACCTGCTCTTCCCTCAGTGCCTCAATGATCAGTGTTTCCGGCTTTAGTGAACACCAGCGGATTAGCCACATGTGAGCACTGAGATCCAACCAAAGCCCACTGTGTGCCTCTTCCCTCCCTCCCTCCTTTTCTCCCTCTCTGGGTATATCTTTATTTCCGTGTCTCCCAAAGGCTTTATGAAAAGCTCTGGGTCTACGGGTTTATTTTCCATGCACACACATAAGTACACAAACAGAAAGAGATTTCAGTTCATAAGGAAACAACAAAGAAATCACCCACACAGCTTGAAAAGCCACAGTGCAGACTAGTTTCATAAGCTTCTTTAACAGTATAAACCACCACATCTACATGACTGATAATCACTCCTCTGCTCTCCAAATGACTGATTACTATCATAATAATAATAAATATAAAGAACTCAAAGAAAGAAAAGGTTTGCATATTATAAAGTTTTTGTGTGTATGTATGTGTAGAAGCTTATTTATTTATGCATTATATGTACATATGTGTAACACAAACAATATATTGTATTATAACATTAATATTTATACGTATAATTATAGACTGCGAAACAAAAAATACACAAGACAATTATCAATTTTAGCTTATTTTAATAATATTTTAATGTAACTTGCTGTGTCCTTGTAATAATTTTAATAATAATTTCTATACTTATATATGTGCCTGCGTCAATTTACAGAAAATATATTTTATAGGCTAATGTACATACATTGAACATATTAATATAGATACATAATAGTGACAGGCGATGCAATGGCGCAGTGGGTAGCACGTTCGCCTCACAGCAAGAAGGTCGCTGGTTCGATCCTCGGCTCAGTTGGCGTTTCTGTGTGGAGTTTGCATGTTCAGGTGAATTGGGTAGGCTAAATTGTCCGTAGTGTATGAGTGTGTGTATGTTTGCAGGTTGCGGCTTGAAGGGCATCCGCTGCGGATAAGTTGGCGGTTCATTCCGCTGTGGCGACCCCAGATTAATAAAGGGACTAAGCCGACAAGAAAATGAATGAATGAATGATAGTGACAACCTAGAGACCATTAGAAACACCTTAGAAACAAGCAAACACAATTCCCCATCAACTGCATAGCAACACTCAGTAAACCACCTAGAAAAGGCTTAGGCTGTATTAATTAATGATGATGCATATTTGTAATGGTGTCTGAAACCAAATGGATATTCTGAAGAGCACTCAATCTCACAATCAGAAGATATTTAAGAAGATATTATTTAAAGCAACTTTTGAATTTATGACAGAAATCAACATACATTGTTTAATTACTAGACAGCTCGTGCTAAGTCACGAGGCCTGACCAAAAAATGGTTAATGTAATCCGTCTGATCGCATTTAACCACAATCAAAGCACAAAACGGCATCACTTCTGGCGCACTGAGCGCTCGATTTTAAGCACTCGATTTGTTTCACTCCTTTATAATATCAATTTCTCCTAAAAAAGGATTTCTTTAACATATTTTCCTTCTAAAGGTTTATTCCCATACAGTCTTATAAAAGCTGTTAAAATATGGTATCAAATGCAATAGCATACTCCTTTGGAGTAACTAGAAAACCAAATTTATCTAAAAATTCTGTGGTGAATGGTAAATGAGGGTGCAACAATACCCACAATGCACTGCGAGAGTTCGCGCGCCGAATAAATAATTTCCGCGTCTGACTGACCAAGCCCACGACATCAACAGCGGAGTCCTGTCTATGGAACAAAATCAATGCCTAAAGTCTTGAATTAAAAAGCTTGTTGAATATCACAAACTGAAAAAAATAATACACCGTATTAACAAGTTCTTGTATTTTTATGACTTGAATTCCAGGGTTTGTATTTTTAGGTCCTGAAATTTAACATATCTGTATATTTAAGCTGTGAATATTTCAACGAAAAATATTTCAAACACGTTTTCAAACTTAAAAATTCAATAATTCATATTCAATTTTCAGATTTCACTTAAAAAATATTCAATACCCTTTAAAAATACGATGTATAATATTCAAAAGGTAATTTTCAGTTCATTTAATTTCAGTTCAAATATTCGCTTCCATAAATTCAGTGGATCAAATTCGACTGTTAAAATCCAACATTACATCCGGGAACTGCAGGAAAAGCAATAGATTGCAGAGTGAAGATCGCCAGCTGCTCTAGCTTTCACCAGCAGGTGGAGATGGAATAATGTAAGATTTTTAACCCAGTAAACAGGCGAGAAAAAGGCTATTAAAGGCACAAAAGTAGCATTTAATATTAATATCAATGCTTTGGACATTATAAATGATAAAAAGTATGAGTAAAATGAGTAAATGAGGTTTTAGTCATCTATATTTGCCCTTATGTTACGGAAGCCAGCTGGTGATCGCGTAAAGCTCACTCCTCGGATCCAGGGACAGACGTTGTTCTGCAATCTTATCGGAGCTTGTCTCCCATGCTGGCTCGTTACCTGCTCGGACCGGTGCGGTTACTTGCACATAAACCGTCTTTTGATGAATATGATGTTACACATTGTCTATCTTTATTGACTCTTTCTTCCATAGACACTAAGTATTATATTGACAGCTAAAGAATATAAACGTAAGAGAAACAGGAGAGGAAATATTATAATAATAATACAAAATAGATAAACATTGACAGGGCTAAGAACAATTACGAACAAAGATTTTCAAAACCAGAGAGATTTTATGAGAATGTCACACAAAACAGAGTTCAGGTAGACCTATGATTTAAGGTTGGTTATGGATGGGGCGTCTGATTTAAAATAATTTAACATGCGAATGCATTAAAGGAGCGTCTTCAGTTATTCACACAGAACCGCCTAATATGGCATAACTATAAGGAGTAATGTTTGCGCTGTTTAAACGCAGCTATGTCAGGATTGGCATAGGTTATACATTTTCATCATTTGAATTATTATTATGATTGTTAATATTATTATTGTATGACATTTAATTGGGCTATTGCGCTTAAATAAGTCATCCGTGATTCTAAATTAATATTTCTATTTATCCTTTTTATCACTCTGCCTGTCTTTCTCTTCTTTTTTCAAATTTTTGGGGTTCTGCCATGGTTAAACGTTTGCAAAATGTGTTAGTTTGTCCAGATTATTGTTTTATTGTTATGTAGCCTATAGGCGAGAAAAAGGTATTAACGCAAAAGTGGCAATGTCGCAGCCAAGGATAAGTAATAAAATGAGTCGCCTGTGGTTTGATAATAGGCAGTTATAACTGACTTTAATTTGTTTTCAGTATTAAATGAGAAAACCATTATTTATAACTTTTCAGCAACCGTTTGAATTTTATGATTAGCAATGTTGATCTTTTT